CCGAAGATCTTTGTGACTGCCGAATAAGTCCAACGCCTGAAATACAAATTTTTAAAACATCTACAAATGAAACACTTCCGTTTTCCGTAACTGATCACTTGTCTGTAGAAGGGATTTTCTGGATAAAAAGGATTATCTGTAAAAGTGCGACAAAGAGGGTTCTGAGGAGAGAAAAGAAATCAGAGGGGAATCGTGCAGGGACAGGTTTTATTTTCGCATGTTCAAGAACTGCTGAATTCAAATATAATATAAAAGTGACGGAAACGTAAATCTCATTCAAACAAACCCATCTTAAAACCAGTCGTAAAACTGTCTAAGGCAGTTGCTTTCTTTATTTTGAAAGACACGAGATACAGGCGGAAGTGGTCTAAGTGAAAAAGTGAATTAACACATCCAAACGCAAAATTTAGCCGTGCCACTGCTGATGGTGCGGATTGCATCGAAGAAAAGTAAGGATTGTGTTCGCTAGAGTACCCAAAAAACCGGAACCCTGGTTCAATGCGAGAGGATACTTTAAAAATATAAAATATAAAGACCACAACGCTCATACGATGGAGAGTGGTGACAATAGACGTGCAAGAAAATGATCCTTATCACCTTCCAACAACAAGCCGAAAAGGTGCTAATCTCATCTAAAACGGCGCTGTATTAAGCGCGTGAGACGTGTAATTTGCCAGATGAGGACAGAAAACTTAACAAAGAAATAAAGGAAATTCACAAAAGTGCTAGAGTGCATTAAGGGCCGGACAAACAATTTCGAAAATGCAGACGCCAAAACTGAGCAGAAAGGGAGCAGAAACAGAAACCACTCGGAGAATCCGAGATGCTAAAACCATGGCGCATATCCCTGCTTGACGAAGATAAGCCGCTTGAAGAAAGCAGCATTTAATCAAATCCCATTCTGTATAATACTCTCAATGAGAGGCGGTGAAATTCGTAAATAACCCGACTACTGGCTGCTAGCAAGGATATCGACGGTTTTCTCTTCAGTAAGCTCCGATGAAGATTCTGATTTCCTGGTATGCGGCAATATCAATCTAACATAGAAAACAAGGGGAAATTATAGAGGAAACTGTTTTTCCGCTGCTCCTTTGCCCTAAGGAGCAGTGGAAAAACAACGCTTCTTGCTGGTGCACCATGCCCCAATCACATAATGTCACAAAAGCTATACATTCAAGTTTTGCAAGTACAAAACTTACGCGCAAAACGAGGTCAGCATCAATTACACCATCATTGTCATCATCGAGCGCTTGCAATATCTAAATTTTACGTTTTTTACTTTTTCTGGACATTCTGTTGCACTTTTTTATCAGAAAATTACGGAAACTTTTAGCAGAATTCGGCTCACTTTACTTCTGCCCCGTTTCAAGAAGAAGCAGAAACCTTCGCCGTTAAATTTATAAATATACCTTTCGGAACTCTTCCTGGTTTTTCTCGCTCATATTTTGCACCTTTTGCAATTTGTTTATGAGATCTTCTACTCGCATGAGTTTTTCCCTGTAAGAACACAGAATATTCAATAAGAATCAAACAAAATTGCAACCGCAACATATTTCGAAGGAAGAAAGTTATATGGATGTGTCCTGAATGGTTTTCGTTCTATACGTTTATCACATTAATCAGCTGCAAGAAACTAATTGCTCTGAGTAATCTAAGGCATCGAAACACGCGTTTTTTAAGGAAACCTCACACACGAAAAAGCAAGCACTGGCCTTCCCAACAATCATACTTCTTTTGGAAATAAATCCTAATTCTGTATTCCAAGATATACGACAGGCACAGCTTCTGGGGCACAAAGACATTTTTAAAGCAGAAGTGTCTGCCATGAACCCGAGATAGAACAAAAATTGATTACGGAGTCTTATGCCTAGCATATTTTTTATGTACAATTCCTGTTGTAGTGCATTTTCCAACACTTTTCAAGCGTCAGCAAAAGGACAGGCAGCACAAATAATAGTTCGAGGAAGCATCATAATAATATCTGCTTGCCATCATCCATGTTAAAATCTGACATGATCTCAAAGAAAGTACATCCCAGAAACCCTTTACTAGTACATTTTCCATTATAAAAAATTTCAAATAAAAACCAAACCTTTCTTTCTTTTTGTCCTCCTCGGCAATACTTTCAGGAATATTACTAATAGCTTTGCGATCTTCTTCGAGTTTACGTAGCAATGTGTCTGCTTTCTTCAGCATTTTATTTACACGTGCTCGAAGCAGTTTCGCACCT